CAAAACAGAGACAAGAGGTACTGGAGAGATAGCTCAGTAGTTCAGAGCAATTGCTGGTCTTCCAGAGGACCTGGGTTTAATTCCCAGCACCTAAATGGTGGCTTAGAACCATCTTTAACTCTAGTTACAGGGATACAACATCCTCTTCCGACCTCCAAGTGCACCAGGCACATTCATGATATAAAGACATACATGTAGGCAAAATACCCATACACATAAAATAAGAACATACACAAGTTATCAAAGTAGACAAAAGAATCAGTATCTTCTAGGCTTTATACTGTTCTAGGCGGAGAAAAGAGAGTGGACTTGTTTAGATCCTTTAATGCTTTAGAACCATCCTGGAATGTTGGCTGTACACCCACTGCTGTACCCAACAAAGCAGCATCAAGACCTTTGTTTTGGAGACTGAAGAAACAGCTCATTCAGTAACATGCTTATAAGCTGGATTCCCAGAAAACATACAAAAAGCCAGGCATGGTGGTGCACACTTGTAATCCCAGCACTTTGGAGGCAGAGACAGCAGGATCCCCAGAGCTCAATGGCCAGCTAGCCCCACTGAGCACCAGGTTGAGTGAGACATCCTATCCTCCCCACTCCCCAAATGCACTGGAGAGTGAGAGAGCGAAAGAGCGAGGGGGGGGGGGGAGAAAACACATACATGAACACATCACACATACCATATGCAAGGCCTTGGTTTCAGTCCCATCAATGTCTGATATTTTCATACCATTGCTTAATAAATAACAGTCCTTACAAAAATTAGTCCCTGATGCTCTTTCTCCCCACCCCAACCTGTTTTTACTAATATTTTTAGTTAAATTTTGACATCATTAAGACTCAAGGAGAGCTGAGACAAAATGTGGTAAGATCTCAGTCTTTTGCTTGATTTTACAGAAGTACTTATAGAGGAAGTTATACCATACAAAGTGGACCCCTTAATCAGCACAAGAGAGAGCTTGTTGAGAGGTATGTTCAATAGATAAATATCTCAGTTCAGCACGGCATGCATATGAAACACAACCACTTTATCTAGGGTCTTCCACTTTGCACTCAGAGGAGAGAGACAGCTCCTTTTCATGTAAACAAAATCTCCAATAGCTTTTATGTAATACATCAGCCACTGTCTAGCAGTTTTATCCAGTCAAGTGCTACCTCAGGAATAACCAGCTACATTTCTGAATCCTATGTAGACACCAACACTTGCTCAGTAGCATGCTCTGTCATCTGGGTCCTGTATCAACCCTAACATCTCTTCACTACAAAGCAGCCAAAACCAAAACTTCTAAATTAGTCACTTTCATACGCCATTTTAATAACAGTATTTCTGGATACTCATGATACAGAGCCAAAAACTGAGATAATACCTTTCCAAAACACCTTCTGGCTCTAGGAGTTTCTTAGTTTACCCTCCCACCAACTAAATACCTTTCAATCAATCATGGTAACAGTACCATCCAGTGTTCAGGGGTAATCTTTCCCATTGGGGTGTGTGTGGTAATGGATCCAAATGGCTGACATCTCACCAGTCATCAGAATCAGCCCCAGAGTTCTCTTTGGCTTCCATTACAGCAGGTAATATCTCAAGGACTGTATACTTCATTATTTTTTTCCATTCTGCCTTTCATGTTCTAACCATAGGAGTAAAATCTCAATCCTTTTACCTTTAGTAACAGAGCACAGTGACACTGTAATTTCACAGTACAAGTGACCAGGAAGTCATCCAAGAATCAAAGGTACCTATCTCATCCACCACCCTTTCAGCCTCACTTCATAAAACATAGGTTTTGGTGAGTCAGGGTTCATATACCAAATGCTACCTTTTCCTGACACCAACTACAATGATTTTTGGCATTATTTATAGTTAGGCAAAATGTTGCAGGGCATAGGCTTTCACAGAAACCATACTTGTGATACCAGCTGCAGGTTGGAGGATTCTCAAAAGTCTTACTGGGAATTGACAATTTGGTAGAACTCAAAGAACTCAGGGAAGTGATATATTTATGATTAGAATTATGGCCAAAAAATGAACACACACCCCAAGAAAGAGCCACATAAGGCAAGGTCTGGGATGATCAGGAATTCAAAGCTTCTATGTCTTCTCCTAATGAAGCCAGTATATATCATCCCCATGGCACACTGATACAAAACAACACACAGAGCACTGTTAAGAAAGAAGTCCTGGGTTTTTGTTGGAATTGTCTTATAAGTTAAGACTGATTAAATTCCTGTCCACACCACTGAACTTGAACTCCAGCACTTTTTCTTTTCTCCCAGAGGCTAGCCTAATACGCAATTCAAAGCAATCTTATTCTCAGTGTTTTGTCCTTCTGGCATAGCAGGCCTCTAGAACTAAGCTACCTAGTTATCATAAACTCCCAGAGACTACCATGAATTATAAACCAAGAAATTACAAAAACTCATGAGGTTCCCACACAGAAAAAGAGGTGCAACCTGGGGTTCCAAAGCTATCTATTATGACTAAAGAGTGATTCTTCTAAATCTATCCAATAAACTGTCATCCAAATTTAAATAAACAGTAGTCAGTTAAAATATTCAATGGCTGAGAAACATCTATTAAAGTTAATGGATTATAGCAAGTTTAGACTACTGATCTGTATAACCTAGAGTGGGTACAATCTTTTTTATGGAGCATATGAAATTTGTGTGTAAACATGCTTTGTCCTTTTCAAGACCCATCTATAAAAGCATTAAAAGCAATCTCTATAGGATTTTAAGATGTAAGTTTAGGCAATAACGATGGAGTTTTTTATCTTAAAAGAAGGATTTATTTTTATAGATCCCAAGTAACATGCTAACGTGACCTGTCAATTATTAACAGTGTGGAATAATATATCTGCATTTTATTTAGTGGAAAAGTAATTTTTGTAGGCTTTTTATCATTAAGAGATTATTCTATGAGCTAATACCTTAGCAGCCACATTATTTAAAAGCCAATAGCCTGCTGTTTCAAGTGTTACTATTTTTATTAATCTATTTGTTTTACATCTCAGCTGCAGCCTCCCCCATTCCCCTCCCATCTCCCAATACCCTCCTCTTCTGTCCCCATTCAGAAAAGGGCAGGTCTCCCATGAGTATCAATAAAACATGGCATATCAAGTTGCAGGAAGACTAAGCACCTCCCCATGTATTAAGGCCGGGCAAGGTGACCTAGTATGAGAAATAGGTCCCAGAAGCCAATAAAAGAGCAGGAGACACCCCTTGTTCCCACTCTTAGGAGTTCCACAAGAGGACCAAGCTACACAACTGTAACAAATATGCTGAATGCCTAGGTCACTCCCATGTAGGCTCCTAGCAATAGTAGATAAGTAGCCTGAACTGGCCGTCTCCTGGGACCAGATTGATGCCTGGCCCAACTGTCACTAGAGAGGCATCATCCAAGAACTGATGAAGGCAGATGCAGAGACTCACAGCCAAACATTAGGCAGAGTTCCTTGCTTTAAAAATAATAAGTAAATAAATTCAACCTTATTGAAGCATGACAGTAATGCTGAACCATTGGCACATCCATCTCTAGAAAATACTAGCAGGAAAACCTGCCTAGGAGGAAAGCTAGGAACAGCGGTGGCTGGTATTGGTAAAAGGCAGGACCTATAAACAACTTAGTGCTAATGAGCCCTCTGCTCATTATTATATATTCTTTTTAAACTAAAGAGGCAATACCAAATCACTAGAATATTTTGGATTAGAATGGATTTTTGTATGATAAATTCCTAAGGTTATAAAGGTATACTCAGGTTAACAAAAATTAACTTAGAGATATATGTCTAAAACTAAACTGCTAATCTTATAAAAATGCTAATCTACTAACTTGTTGTAAACTGTTAAAAGATATTCATGACATGCAAATTAATGATTAATCACCTTATAAATAATCAAATTCTTTAATATGCTCAGAACTAAGTTTGCAGTCATACTTACAAATGTGATTCATTTAAAAAGACAAGCTTTGTCCTCCTATATGTTTTCAAAGTTAAGCCTAAAACAAGTAACTAAAAACCAATAAAGTTTGTTTAAAATCAGGCATACTTAATAGATGGTTGTCTGGTCAAATTATACATCTATCCAGTCACACACAAGCAACATTAGCAAGATAAGACATTTTATATTGTCTTTATTGCTAAAACTTCATTTTTAAATTTATATTTTTGTACAACATAACAAAAATGGTGGAATACAACAAGAAATACAGCTACAGTAAACTTGAAGAGTGGGTGTCTGAACATGCCAGACTCGACCACACAAACTCTGCAACTCCCTTGTGCCAGGCTGAGTGCTCACTCCTCTCCTTCAGACACTATACTACCCTCGGCAGTCTCCAGTCAGACCTGCAGACTGATTCAGAAGTAACCGCTTATTCTGTGCTATCCTAGATAAGACTGCAAACAGAAAGAGCTGCTGAGTGCTCACAGGAGGGAGGGGAGGAGGGAGGGGAGGGGAGGGA